AGGATTTTTTAATTGAAGATTTTTATATTTGGAGCTAGATTTGGATCCAGAAGAACTGAGTTTGAACCCTCACCTCTTGGATCCTCATTTTCCTTCCTCATAAAAGGAGGAGAGGAGGGAAGGTGGTCTCCCTCAGGTGACTCCCTGTTTTTGTTCTCCTACTCAACTCTAAGCATCTTGCACAAGGACTTTGTCTCAAAGGATCATGGGGAATTCCAGTATTTAGGGTGGGAAGGGAACATAAAATCCATCTAGTCCAGCTCTCACATATAACATGAGAAAACCAAGAGCCAAAGGAGCAAAGCCACTTTTCCAAAGTAGAAGGCAGAATGAGACAGAAAACAAATGCTGGAATTGAGCTCCACAGACACAAGTTTGTGCCTCAGTCCACTATGACCTCAGGCAAGTTGTTTTCACCTCCAGGCATGGACCTCAGTTTCTTCATACGTAAAACCAGAGTGTAGGGCTACATTACTTTCCCATTAGCATTTATACTATAGTACAGTTTTTTGTCTCCCCCGTTAGACTGTGAGTAACTTGAGGTAAGGAAGAGTATTTTTGCCTTTCTTTGTATTTCTAGCACTTAGCCCATTGCCAGGCACATAGTAAGCACTATTTGTTGACTCACCAGCCAGATGGATGGCCCTTAAGATCCCTTTGGCTCTACATCTATGATCCTTAATACCCACAATCTCCAGACTCTGGGCCTTGATTTCCTCATCTGTGCCCTCTGGCTCTAAATCTCTGATCCTGACAAGAATGCAATAAGCCAGATTTGTTTTTGGTGTCCACAGGTTGCTGTTGGACAGCCAGGACTCAGAGCAGTCCAGCTACTTACCTGCTGTCACCTAGAGCTCAGATGCTCACTGCATATGTGGCCCAAGACAAGTTAGTGAGCATTCTCTGAGCCTTCATTTCCTTATCTGTAAAAAGGATATTGGTATTTGTGCCATCTATGCACACAGTTGTGTTGAGGAAAGTGTTCTATAAGCCTTGGGTTCCTGTAGAAATGCACTCTCACCTCTTCTCAATTTCACAACTGCTACCAAAACTCTGTCTTACAAGGTGAAGGGGAGGTAATGTAATAAACTAGTCTGTTTTAATAGAAGCTGGCTCCCAGGTAACAAATAAGTATTTGTTGTGGCCATCTTTGGACCATGTCCCTGCCTTCATTGTCCAACCCTTCAGTTAATCTAATGTTCAGAATTCCATGCCAGGTAGGGGGGAAAGGTGAAACACTAGTAGATCAGTGGAGGGAGTAATGGGGGGGGGGCTGGTCAAGATGTCTTTCAATTCCCTAAAATTATGCTTCGTGGCTGGCTGACTGTTCTGCCTTGATGTAGTTCCAGGCCTGCCCAGAGTTGTACAAGTTAGATCTTGAGAGATGGCTTGGTGAACTGGAAAGAATGCCAGTTTTAGAGTCAGACAACCCAGACACAAATGTCCCTCTGTGGTAGGCTGTGAGACATTGGGAAAGTCATTGACCTCTCTAGGTCTCAGGCTCCTCTTCAGAGTTAGACTAGATGACACCTGGCTCCCTTCCCACTCCAGATCTCTGGTACTAGGATGCTGTGCCCTCAGAAGCAGCATGGTAGAATGGCAAAGAACACTGAATCTGGAATCATGAAACCTGGCCATCTATCCTGGATCTAGTACTTACTGCTTATATGACCTCAGCCCAGTAGTTTCATCTCTCAAAACTTCATCTCAGTGTGAGTTAACTCAATACAAGACAACATTGTAATGCACAGCCAGGAAAAGGTACTGAAATCTTGGACTTTATTTTAAGAAGCATTGTGCCTAGATCTAGGGAGGCTTTCTCTGAGATTCCCTGGTCAGGCAACCTATGGAATATTATGTTCAGTTCTGATCAAACAATAAAAAAAATTAACAAACATTTACTAAGGGTGCCAGGCACTGTGGTAACTATAGGAAATACAAAGAAAGGTCAAACCAAAAACAATCAACCCCAAGGAACATGCATATAAATGGAGGAGAAACCATGTAAAGAAATGGGTACATACACCATAGAGAGGAGTAGAGAGAATGTAACCCTGGAGGGGAAAGCTCAAATGAGTGACTATAGGAGGGAGAGTAGGAAGGGAAAAGGCAGTGAGGAATTAGAAGCATTAGGTGTAGGTGACTTTTTCAAAGAGTTTAACAAAAAAGGGAAAGACAGATACAGGCTGAGAGGCATTGAGGATCTTATGAGCAAGGGAAAATTTTTTAAAGATGGGGAAGCCATGAGATGTTTGTAAGTAACAGGGAAAGTGCCAGGAGATAGAGAGAGATCAGAGATTGGAGAGGGAGTTGTGATGACCACCAGTGCCACTTTTTAGGAAAGACATTGATAAGCAGGGGAGCATAAAGAGGGGGGGAGTCCTATCATTACAGGGTTTTGTGTTCATGCCATTTGGGGATTGGTGGAAGGAGCTGAGAATGTCTAGCTTGGGGCATGGAAGACTTAGCAGAGATGTGACGTGATGGCTGTTCCTAATGATTTGAAGGTCAGTCAAGTGGGAGACTAATTGGACTTACTCTTCTTCAGATCGCAACACTGAGGTAGTAGAAACTGCAAAGAGGAAAATCCAGGCTCAACGTAAGGAAAACATTCTTCATCATGAAAGCTGCCCCAAAGTGGAATGGCTACCTCTAGGAGAAAGAGTTTCCTCTGCTAAAAGCTGGAGGACCACTTTGGGGCTATATTGATTGTAGAGCGGATTCTTATACTAATACAGGTTGTGCTAGCGGTCATCTAAGCATCATTGTTGGCCAACTCCTTTCTGCCTGTACTTTTCCACTGGCTACTGTCCATATCTCGAAGGCTCTCCCTTTTCACCATTATCTACAGGATTCCATGGCTCCCTCCATAGCCCAGATCCATTCTTCCCCAGGGCACCTTTCCTGTTTCTTATTCCCCACTCTCCCTACTGTTGGTCTTCCCTTTGAGTCCCTCCCATCTATGCTGGTTACATCATACATGGACATGGATATTTGCATGTTGTTTCTGCAATTAGAATATGAACTACTTGAGGGTGTCAGTCATGGCTTTGCCTTCTTTATATCAGTGGTGCACCATGCCTGGTCATAGTGATGCCTTAATAAGTATTTGTTGACTGACTGAGTTTCCAATTATGAAAGTCTTTGACATGTAAAATAGAGGGTTGGATGAGAATACCTTTGATCTCCTTCTATCTTAAAATTCTGTGTAGATACAAGACAAATATCCAAGATACAGGCATCTGTAGTGGGTAGATGCTTTACTTGGAAATCGCACCTCAGGCACTTTCTAGTGGAGAAAGTGAGGACCAGAGAGGGCAAGAACTTCACCTTTCCCACCCGTAAAATGAGGCATTTGGACTCAACCACGAAATCCCTTCCAGCTCTAAATCAATGATATCATTAATTTAATCTGGATTCTAATAATTCAAGCTGTACCTTAATCTTGCTTATTTTTAGAAAACTGGGACATCCCTGATGGAATTAAGTGTATCTCCTGCTCATCATTACTTACCGTTGGTAAGGAGATTTGGGTTCACATTGCTGCCCCATGTGGTAGCATCTCAAAACATTAAAATGTGGTCACTGTTTTCTGCTGGTCATTGATTTTCCTCTCCAAAATGAGTCAATTAAGCCATTTCAAACGAGTGGAAAAAGGGCTGGAGCTGGTGATCAGAATACTTACTAACACTACATCATTGGGTAGTCTGGGCCTCAGTTTCCCCACCAAGGGGGTTGGCCGAGATGATCTCAAAGTTTCCTTGCAGACATAGCACGCCATGATTCTAAGTGAGCCTGGGACAAGGCCTTTCTCGTGGGAGCCCCTTGGGAGTCCTGGGGCCATTACATGTTTTCTTTCCTCAGACTCCTGCTGCTGGTTACATTGTTTCCAGGAACAATCAGTCCAGCAAGTTGACATCATAGGTCGGTTCTGAAAGAGAGGAAGGAGATGCTGTTCTGAGATAACCCAAAGAAAAATCCCCCAAAGTCTCTGGTTCAGAAGCAGTTACAGCCTGAGAGAAGACCCAGGCTCCAGTCAAGATCCAGCTGCTCTGGGATCCTGGCTCTGATGTGTTTATTCTTTGACCAAGAAACAAAGATCTGGGTGAGATCATGCCTCAAGCCATGAAAAATGGACAATTAAAACAATGGACCTGTCAGTTCTCTTACCAGATTGCAAATAAATAATCAGCCTGTCGGGTTGCTGGCTCTGCTGGACCATTAGTTTAATACAAAGACATTCAGGGAACAGGAGGGACACTGCTGATCTATCACCTGTGCGACTTTGATGAAGACCTATGCAAAAAGGATTCTGGAACACCAGGGAGGGGGAATCTCAGTCTGTGGAAAAGAGGACATTGGCTTCTATAAGCCTTTATGTCATTATGAAAGTCATATGTGCTTTCCCCCCAAATGTCAGTTAAATGAGTTATTTCTTATATTTTACTTTGAGGTAACATGACATAGTGGATAATAATAATAATGATTATATAATAATAATAATAATAACTAACATTTTAAGGTTTGTAAAGTATTAACATAGTCATTTTATTTCATCATTATAACACCGGGAGGTAGGTGTTATCATTACCTCCATTTTACAGATGAGGAAACTGAGGCAGAGAGAGGTTAAGTGTCTTGCCTAGGGTCACACATTATTTAAATTTGCTAACTCCAAGACCAGAACTCTGTCCACTGTACCATCTAGCTGCCTTTCCAGAGTGTTCAACTTGTAGTCAAGGTGACTTGTGTCTAAATCCTATCTCAGGTGCTTAATAGCCATGTATCCCGGGGAAAGTCACTTTACCTTTCCCTTGCAGTCTCAGTTTCCCCATCTGTCAAATGGGGATAATAATAGCACCTACCTCACAGGGTTGCCGTGGGGCCTAAATGTGTGTAAAGTGCTTTGTAATCCTTAAAATGCTGTGTGGCGGTCAGCCATTATCCTTCTTTTGGCGAGAACTAACCATCTGCCTCCTTTGTGCTTACCTGTTTCTTAGGGTGCCGGATAAACCCTGAGGGTGAAGGTTGCAGTCAAGCTTGTAACTGTCACAATGGAGCCAGCTGGGATCCCAGAACTGAGAAATGCCTCTGCGAATCTGGATGGACAGGACCTACTTGCCAGGAAGGTAGTGCCAGCACTTCATGACAAGGCCAAAATGTTTGGTCACGGCAGCAGTGACAGTAGAAGAAATGTAATTGACTCTAACACTTTCATGTTTTCAAACACTTGGCCTCCATCATTTCATTCCATCCTCACAACAACCTCATGAGGTAGGCAATGCAGATAATTTTATCCCTATTTGACAAATAGATAAACTGAGGGTCAGGGTGCTGCAGTATTTTCTTCAGGGTTACACAGGTGGCCAGTGCCAGAGGCAGGAGATGAGGCCAGATTTTGCCAATTTCAAGTTCACTGCTCTACCCTCCACAGCCATACAACCTCAAGTACGTAACAAAATATGATATAATAAATATTTATTATGTTGTTTTTGGGGCAGCTAGATAGCAGAGTAGATAGAGTGCTAGCCCTGGAGTCAGGAAGACCTGAGTTCAAATATGACCTCAGACACTTACTAAATGTGTGACCCTAGGCAAGTCACTTAACTCTGTTTACCTCAGTTTCCTCATCTATAAAGTAAGCTGGAAAAGGAAACGACAAACCACTCCAGTATCTTTGCCAAGAAAACCCCAAATGGGTTCATGGAGAGTCAGAAACAACCGAAAAACTTCAACAACATCAATAACCTTGTGTTTCATCACTATATAAGTAGGCCTTCTTTTATAAAACATTTTCCAGGCAGATTTTTATCATCATCATCACCACCACCACCCCATCATCACTATTATCATTATTATTAACACTGCCACCAAAATCACTACCACTACCTTTATTTAACTACAGTTATTTTTACCAGATTTTGAGTCCCTCCTTCTGTCCTGCCTACTAGTCTCTTTTAATATAAAGTAATCACCCAACTGGATCTCAAGCTCTAAGTCTTAAATTCACAATGTACCTGAGGTCATGTGGTCCAATCCATTCATTTTACCTGTGAAGAAACTGAGATCCAGAGAAGTTGGGAGATGAAGTTACTTATCTAAGTGATCATCCCTACCACCACTGCCATCTTCATCACAATCACTTGCTACTTAGGAGCATGAATCAAGATGGCAATTTTGCTGAATTTTTTCTAGTTAACTTCTTCTTAGTATGTGCTATATACTAAATATAACCCAGTGCATGGTAATGTTTTCTGAAGAAAAGGACAAGAAAAGTTTTATAAGATTTATTAAGAAACGGGGTCTGAGTCTAGGGAGGTGAAAGCCTTATGATACTCAGACCTGGTGAGACCACATTTTTAGTATGACGTTCAGTTCAGGGTTCCACATTTTAGGAAGGATGTTGTTAAGCTTGAGAACATCCAGAAGAGGGCGCCTCATGTGGTATATATCCTTGAGATTATGAGACGTGAGTGTTGGTTGAAAGAATTAAGTATGGCCAGCCCAGAGAAGAATTAAGGGGTACATGAAAGCTGTCTTCAGGTATGTGAAGGGCTACCATACAAAGGAGGCATTCATCTTGTTTTTCTTGGCCCCAGAGAGAAGAACTGGGATCAATGGAAACTGGAAGAAAAAAAAAGATTTCAGCTTGATGGGGGGAAAACAAACAAACAAACAAAAACCCACCTTCTTAATAGAGCTATCCTAAAGTACATTAGGTTATCTTAGGAGGAAGATGGCTTCCTCTAAATGGATTTCTTCAAGCAGGGGCCAAATAACAGTTTGTCAGAAAGGTTTTAGGAGAGATTCTTATTCAGGTGACCTCTGGGATCTCTTGCAACTCTGATCCTATGATTCTTAGTCTAAGAAGGTGACAACACCTGGAAAAAAGATCTTGGCTTCCTGGTCACATACCTGTCACCTTACTCAACAGTATGTGTTGTGGCAGCAGAAACAAAACGTTTTATAGTGTGGGTTTTAACTGATTTGACTGATTAGCTGCTTTGATTCACTTGACTTTAGTCTTACTACATGAGTGACTCCTCCATTCTTCGTGAAAATATATTGAATGTCATAATGGCATCAACAACTCCACTCCCTGTTTTTGCTGCCAAGACAATTTGTAAATTCAGTTGCAGCTACATGTACAAACCAGTTTGAAACTTTTGGCTAGTACTCAAAATAGTTTGTGTGCATCAATGCAGTCTGTGTCAAAATATTAAAGAAATCACTTTAGGTCAAATTCCTTTGATTTATTTTACTAGTCAATCAAAAGATTTGTGCTGGTTTTTATGTGATGTTGAGACTGGTGATAGTGATGCCATAATAAAGGTAGTAACGGTGATAAGTGGATGGTGGTAATAATAACAGGGATGAAGATAGTGAGGATTTCGATAAAAAATGGGGTGGGGACAATGAGGAATAGGAGAAGAAGAAAATGGTGGTGATGATGGTGATTGGGATGAAGATAAAGGTGATAGTAGTAATGATTGATGACGATGATAATCAAGAGGTGATGTGATGATAAAAATCTAATGATTGTGATGTGATGATGACAAAGATGGTGGTAGTGATTTTGATGGCAGTGGTAATAATAAAGGTGTTAATAATGAGGATGAAGTGATGATGAAGATGATGATAATGATAGTGATGAAGATGGTGATGATGATGAAGATAATGAAGGTGATGATAGCAATGATGATGATAAATATGTTGATGATGGTAAAATTGTGGTGATGATGATGATAAGACAGTGGTGGAGTGATACTGATGTTGATCACGATAATGATTAGTGGTGATAGTGATTATGATAATGATGAGGTGGAGCTCACATCTTTATGGCTTTTTAAGGTTCACAGAACATGTTTTTCATGATAATACTGTGAGACAAAGAGCTAAGTAATATTCTCATTTAAAGATGAGAAAACTGAGACTTTTTTCAATTCATATTTATATTGCATTGTAAAGTTTGTAAAGCACTTTGTAAACATTATTTAATTTTATCCTCACAACAACCCTAGTACTATTATTATCTCTATTTTATAGATAAGGAAACTGAATCATACAGAGGTTAAGTGACTTTCACAGGATCACACAGCTATTAAGTGTGTGAAGTTAGAATTTGAACTGGGTCTTCCTGACTCCACCTGGCTGCCTTTAGGCAAAAGATTTACTAAGTGCCTACTATGTGACAGACAATATGCAAACAAAAGAAAAAACAAAAACAAAAAAATCCACTGCCTTGAAAGGGTTGATTTTCAACTATCCAGATAATGCGCACAGTTAAGTGATTATGAAGCACCTTACAGGCACTTATAAGGTGATGTCCATAGGGAGAAAGGCTGAGAGACCTCTGGGAGACCAGGAAAAACCAGGTGGCCCATGAGAGATGCTTGGAGAGAGGTTAAGCAATATCTCAATATAAATGAACCTAAGTTTACAAGAAAGGAGGGAGGAAACAAGCATCCACCCACTATCTTCCAGGCACTGAGCTAAGCACTTTACAAATTGTACCTCATCTCATTCTCAAAGTAACAGCAGGTCTAGTGATTTGGTGATAAATTAAAACAATTACATTTTCCTCCCAAACACAGAAGAACCTACACCATTAAGAAAGACAACTGGCTCAACCAGTTTTTTTCTTTCTTTCTATCCTAGACTTTCTCCTTACCATCAGATAGGTTTGTGGCTAGAACTAATTAATAGGTATGCCAAATCAAAGCAAAACACATCATTTTTTTGTTGTTCAATTGTTTCAATCTGTGTCCAACTTTCTGTGACCCCATCTGGGGTTTTCTCAGCAAAAATACTGGAGTGGTTTGCCATTTCCTTGTCTAGCTCATTTTATAGATAAGGCAACTGAGGCAAACAGGGTTAATGACTTGCCCAGGGTCACACAGCTGTCGGAGGCTGGATTCGAACTCAGGTCTTCCTGACTCCAGGCCTGACACTGTATCTACTACTCCACCTCACTACCTCAAGGTCCCTGAAATTACACCTTCAGTGGTGAGACTTCATCACATTTCTTGAAAAGAGTATTTACCCATGGTCCTACTATTCAGGACTACATTCTTTTGGATCCCCACTAAACTTCCCCCCAAGTACCGATACATTTTCATGGATAGCATCTTCTGAGTCTGCCTGTCTCATTATATCTCTAGTTCTCCTAGTCTAGATCTAGGTTGAGCCATAGTTAGAAGGTGCTGTTCCCCCTTCAGTATGGAAGGTTTGAATCCCATCTATGCTGCCTTTGTGACATTGGGCAAGTCACTTAATGTTCCTGGGACTCAGTTTCCTCTTCTGTAAAGTGAGGAGTTTGGATTGCATGGCCCCCAAAGTCCCTCCAACCCTCATTCTATGATCTATGGTCCTGGGCAGCATTGCAACCAAGCCTAAGTCATAGACCTTCTCCTCCATGAAGCCAGAGGTGGTTTCTCTCTTTACTCAGTTCTCATAGCGTATTGTATAACTCACATTCCTTTTATCCATCCTACTTTGCATTATAGTTATTTGTCCATATGTCTGTGATTCATATAAGCTTTGGGAAACCTGATCTCAATTTGCACTCTCCCAAACGAATCTTAGGTCCTGAAGTAAAGCTGCCTCATCTTCAAGGTTCTAGGGGCACCCCCTGAGGAATTGGGGATGCGTTTCTTATGCTGTACCTTTGAGCCCCCACCAGTGTGCTTCTCTTTAAGATTGTGAATTGAGAATCAATTTATTCAACCAGCCTTAAGTAGCTTTTATCACAGATTATTTACTAGGGTGCTCTAGTAAGAACAGTTAATACAAAACATCTCCCAAAGAGTCTGTGATGCACTTTCCCATGAATACATTTAGAGTCTAGGAGAAAGTAAGCTCAGGCTTAGAGAACGTATGTGGCAAAGGGGTAACTCACAGCTCCTGGTTGTTGTAATTTTTTCCCCTCCCATCTATGGAGTGCTGAAGAAGTTTCTCTTAGGCATGGTGTAGTTTCTTTGATGGCCTTCTCATGGAATCATTATTGATGTCCAGTCTTTTTTCATTGCCATCAGCTAATTCATAGGTGTCCCTAGGACATTTATGAAGATAAGAAATCTGCCATCCTCTGGACACTCCGAAAAGTGAAAGGTATTCTTCCAGCTAAAGA